AAACACAAATCTATCCAAACATAATCAATATTAGATGATTTCATTATTGTAAATTAATTTACTAAACAAACGAGCTGCGAAACTAAAACATGTTGCTGGATGGGGAAGGATGTCGTTGGATATAGGAACGGATGTCGCCGGAGAGAGTGATAGATGGAGATGTAATGAGTTGCGATTTAGGGATTTAGGTTATGAGTTGTTGCTGCTGCGTAGTTATATACCCAAAACATTTGTGTTGCGAAATTAAAACCTATTGCGAATTCAGAAATCGAGTTGTGAATTTGAAATTCAGTATTGCGATAGTTAGAATCTCGTTGCGATTTACAGATTCGCATTGCGATTTACGTATTCGCATTGCGATTTTCCAAATTCGCGCTGCGATTTACGTATTCGCATTGCGAATTAGGAAAATCGCAACGCGAATTTGGGAAATCGCAATGCGATAGTCAGAATCGCGTTGCGAATCTGGAAACTAATTTGCGATACTGGAGATCGCGTTGCGAATTATCGATCACATTGCGATTTAGTTGGTCATTTTGGCAAATCCAAAAAAATTTGGTTAAAATCGTATATTATAAGGCATTTTTGATCACTGAGGTTATTTTCTCTTTAAATAATTTAAATTTCTTTTTATCAATTTGAATAATTAAAATTCTTTTATTCAATTAGATTCGATCGAACAATTACTCTAACCAAATCTTTTCATATAACAGAATAATGGATTTGTAGCGCATTAAAAGAATGCTTAGATATCATAGCGCATTAAATGAATGCTTAGATATCACATTGATGTTTAGATGTCATATTTATTATAATCATATGGCATAATTTTAAGAAAGACACTAAAGATTAATTTGACAAATGAAATGAAAGTGTAGTGACTAAGTTAAAAAAAATTATAAAATGAACGAAGTGAGGATTTTACTAAATTAAGCCATTTTAGGTATTTTTAGCTATGTTAGAGGTGAGAGTTAATTTTTTTGAGTTATTCTAGTTGATGGGTCTTATTTTATATAATTTTAATTTTATTTGAAATTTTTTCGAATTCAGTTGAGTTATTTGAGTTTCTATTTAAGTTCACTTGTAAATATTTATAATATTATGATACTATTTGATTCGAATTTAAACAATTTTGTATAATCATATACAATACATATATATTTTATCATATTTGATATATATATATATCATACAGAGTCGAGAGACTCTAATCAAACCTAAAAATTAATTCACTAATTACTAAAAAAATTGAGTTATTCGAATTCTATTTATAAATAAACTTGAAATTATGACTCGAAGTCAATTCAAGTCGAGTTTTTCTAATTCGAAAATATCAATTTTCGAGTCAAAATTTTTTTTACTCGCCACTAAAAGAATTATGTAAAAAAATAACTTAATATAAAAAAATTGCTCAAACTATATATCTTTTTCACATGTATGTGTCTAAATTTTTTTGTTAATATAAATGTCTAATGTTACAATTATTACTATTTTAAGTATTTATATCATAACTCGTTAAAATATAATGTTAATCACTCTATGACACATAATATGTAATTTTTTAATTTCATTATTATTTAAAAAAGATAAAATATTTCTAAAATATCAAAAAAAATCCCAAATTTCTAAATTTCCTAACCCCTAAATTCTCTTATCGTCCCCCGCTCTCGTCGTTGCCGTCATCAGTCATCATCACCATCGCTGGTCACCAGCCGCTGCCACCATCATCGGTTATATACACTGCCGTAAATACTCCCACACAATACACCCTCACGTAGCCACGTTAAATATGAGAAACGAGATGGCCGACAAGGAATTCCTCTTCTTTTCTTTTAATAATTCCCCAAGAGTAGGACAAAAAGGCTGTTACGATTCATGCTATCAAATAGGCGATTCTATTATCCCCTGTTCTCTTTGCTCTTGCTTGAGAATGGCTTCAAATCTTAGCTTGAGAAAGGCGTGGATTTTGGGTGTTCCTGCTGTGATTTTGGGATTTGGTTTTTGGGTTTTATTGGTTAGGGATTCTGATGTGAATCTCATGTTCTATAAATGGGCTGTTTGTACCGGCCGAGAATCCGATGGTTGCCGACGCCGGGGGGAGGCTGCGTGGGGGCTCTGTGAGGTTTTTATTAATTTTGGAGTATTTTATAAAAAATAGAAAAGTAGGGTTTTTAAAAAAAAAGAAATTATAATTTTAAAAAAAATTAAAAGAAAATATCAAGTAATATTGATTGATTTACTTAATTTTAATGAATTTTTTAACGATTACCTTGTAGACATTTTAACGGTAACATATGAAATGTTAGACATTTAAATTAACTAAAAAAATTAGACATTTAAATAGAAAAAGATGCATAGATTAAACACTTAATTTTATATTAAGCCAACAAAATTTTAGTAAATTAACTATTGGCCCCTCCTTTCTTTTCTTTGGTTAAATAATTTTTAAGTCTTTCTTAATTTTAAAATAGACAAATTAGGCCACAATCTAATCTTTTAAATTTGGAATCGATTTAAAAAAAAACTTCCGTAGTTTATGTAACAACCTAAATTTACAAGTCAACATTAAGCGATAACCTAAGATGGTTATAGATTGAATGAAGATTGAAGAATATGTTTACATTCAATTGACAAGGTGTGAATTAAATCAGAAGAGTTTTGGGGTCAATTAACAATAAAAATAAGATTGTTGAGTCGAGATTAAAAATAAAAAGATTAAAAACTTATTGAATAAGTTTAATAATTAAAAGGAGTGTTGTTGAGGTATTGAATTAGAGCAGTTACATATGGGATGTATTGTCAATAATCAAGGAAGATTATTAACAAATATTATCTTGTAATCCTATTATATTATTAAAAAATTAAAATACTACAAGGATAATTGTAACATTGATGAAAAAGAAACTAAAATCCATTGACTTTTTTCTCCTATTTGGACGTATGGGAAATTTATCTCGAATATGATCTTGAATCCTTTCTCCTCTCCGATATCATATATATATATATATATATATAGTAAGTAAAATTCTTTTAGTTTTACATAAATTTAGAATTGTTGGATGAGTGAAACTAGATGATTGAGATTAGCAATATTAAATGAGAAGATATTCACTGAAAAAAATAAAAAATCAATCTCAGTTATATATTTTCACTCATCTATCAGTTCTAAATATATATAAAATTAAAGAGTTTTATATTGTGTAAGTAGATCGTAATCCTATATATATAGGCTTAATATAAAAAAATATTTAAACTATACCATTTTTTTTTCAAAGTGGTGCCTAATTTTTTTTTGGTCAATCCAGTGTCTAATGTTATAAACATTATCACTTTAGATGTCTCGACCAGAACAATCGTCAAAAACTCCGTTAACTGTAATTTTGATTTTTTAAGTAAAAAAAATTATATTTAAAAAAACTCTAATTTTTTAAAATTACAAAAAAGACCCAAATCCCTAAAAACTCAAATCCCTAAAAACTCAAATCCCTAATCCTAACCCTAATGTTACCTCCCTTATCGACCACAGTCGCCAACGCTGACGCCACCCTTGCCATCTCCCTTGTCTGTCGTCATCAAGCTTGTTGTCAATATGGCCATTGGATTCGCTGTGTGTCGCGAATTCCAACCATTTGGTTCATCAATTTTATCGTCAATTTTATCGTCGAGTAGGGTTTTTGGGTGGCTGATCATCGGGCAATTGACTGTCAAGCGGAGGCACTTTTGGGGTTAGGCTTGATTGACGACAACAGTAGCAAAAGCGACGGTCGGGCTTGTTATAGTTGAAATTAAGATTTTCAATTTTTTGGGTTTTTTTAAAGATTTGCAAAGTTTTTAGGTTTTTTTAAGATTTTCAAATTTTTTGAGATTTTTTTTAATAAAAAATATTTTTTAAGTTTTTTATTTTAAATAAAATTTTAAAAATTATATAAATACAATATGTGTCACTTAACGAAATATTTTAACAACTGTTACACACCTAAAGTAGAAACGTTAGACACCTAAATTGATAAAAAAAAAAATAGCCGCCATTTTAATAAACGATATAGTTTAAGCTCTTTATATATATATATATATATATATATATATATATATATGACTTTAAGCAGGAGAAAATACACAAATACTACAAAAATCAACGAATTAACATTTTAATCGGTTTAACATTAGTTTCATAAATAGTTCTTGCAAGCGGAACCTATGTATTAAATAAAATAACAGGGCTACATTTGATTACATAAATATTAGGGTAAACTACATGTTTAATACATAAACTAATAATATTATTCTGTTTTAGTACTTAAACTTTCATTTGTTTCAAAATCATACCTAATGTTGGCATTTTTAATATGTAAATTATATCATTCATCAGTCAACTATCTTCTCACTCCTATTTTGTTCACTAAAGCTTAAAAATTTTCAATTTAACTACTTAACTTTCAAATTGCTCATGTTTTAATCACTAATTTATTTTATTAATAAATTTTATGACATGACATTTTTATTATTTTATTAATATATAATTAAAATAAAAAATTAAATTTGAAAGTTAGAGTGGTTAAATTAGGAGTAATTTGAAAGTTAAGCAATTAAATTAAAAACTTTAGTGACTAAAATAGGAGTGAGAAGATAGTTGAAAGATGAATTATGTAATTTACCCTTAAAAAAGTTCCATGTTATAACAGTTCCGCTAAGTTTTTAACAGTGAGGTACCAAAACAAAACAAAAAATAAACATTAATTATTATTTTGAAACAAATAAAAATTTAAGTATCAAAATGAGATAAAAGTAATAGTTTATGTACTAAATATGTAGTACCCTAAATATTAATAAGGGAATTTTTCACAAGGAAATATATTTTTAACTATGATGGAAAAAGACAACATTACCCTCAGTAAAGCAAAAGCGAGGCTTTCATTTTTGACTTGGCCTATAAATTCCAAGCCATGCTTACTTTGTTCTCCACCAAAATATTTGCTAAACAGTAGGAAGGAACAATAAAAATGGGTGTAAATTCTAACAGCATTGAAGGTTTCCCTAACAATGGTGGAACTGCAACAACTGTGGAGGTTTCAGTAGCAGCTGAGGCAACAATGGAGATACACCATGTTTGCCTGCCTCCAAAGAAATCTACTTTCCAGAAGCTAAAACACAGTCTGTCTGAGATATTTTTCCCCGATGATCCTCTCTACAGATTCAAGGGCCAAACATGGCATAAGAAACTGGTTTTGGGACTTGAGTGTTTGTTCCCAATACTACAGTGGGGCTCTCACTATGATCTCAAGCTGTTTATGTCTGATATCATTTCTGGTCTCACCATTGCTAGCCTTGCAATCCCACAGGTAACTCATGAACCCTATATCACGATTTGTTTGTTGCCCCAAATTTTCATTTTTCTTAAACTATACCTATATTTAAATAAGTATTAGTCACTTTGGCCCCTATTATTTTTTCTAGAATATTTTAGTCCGATGTTTCATTTTGAAATAAAAAGACTCTTTTACATAGAAATTATTAGTCAACAAACTGTCAATGATACAGAATTAGAGCTTTTTGACCATAAAATGAAACATTTGAGATCAAAGTGCTCCAAAAAGAAAGAATAAGGGGTAAAGTAACCATTTAGTCAAAAGTTAGGACTTTTTTATCCTAAAATGAAACGTTGGGGGTCAAAATACTCCAAAAAAACTAAAGACTAAAATAACTATTTAGTTAAACATTAAAGTCATTTTTTGACATTATGCTATTTAAATATAAGTTCAAGGTACGATCCATCATTTATAACGGATATATACTCGTGTTTACGTTCGAATTCGAGTAACATAGTCTCTTTCACGGGTTTAATCAAATAAATGGAAAAATAATGGACAAGTTTCTGAATATATTCCACATTCTTTTGGATCATTAGAGTGGCTAATCTTTAAAAAATCATCAGTGAAATGAGTAAGTGTAACTTGCGTGAACTGGAGTTTTGTTTGTATAGATTTTAATAATACTATGAATTTGTTTTTCTTATTGAAATATTCTATGTCTTAAAAAAAACAAAAAATCATGTTGGTTGTGTCTGAATATGATATTTATTCTCAAATAGTCCATCGTCATGTGAAATTCACTGTCTTGTTGTAGCTGATATTATGTTAAATCAGTCATGTTTCCGATCAAGATTATTATTTTTAATAACGTATAATATTAAAATTAACCCTCAATATTTATTAAAATGATCATTTTAATTTTTTTAACATTTTAACTTAACGTTTCATTTTAGAATAAAAAGGTCCCTAACATTGGATCAAATAATCATTGGCTCTTTTTTTCTTGAGCATTTTGGTTTCAACGTTTTATTTTATGGTAAAAAGACTCATGTTTTAGAGCGTTAATTGTTTGTTAAGTAACAATTTCCATCTATATATGGGTCTTTTCACCCAAAATGAAACGTTATGGCTAAAATGTTATAAAATGATTATTTAATCAAACTTTTAGAGTTTTTTTTTTACAATTTACCTTTTACTAAATCATTCATTCTTTTAAAAAGAAACAATTTTTTTAAAAAAATACTCCTGGTAAGGTGATCATTTTTTTTTTGGAGTGCAGGGAATCAGTTATGCAAAACTTGCGAATTTGCCACCTATCGTGGGATTATGTTAGTATCCGAACAAAAACGATTATCATTTAGTGGAATGGATAAATGCAAAGAAAAAATTAAGTTGCCATTAATTTCATGCAGATTCAAGCTTTGTTCCACCATTGATTTATTCAGTCCTGGGGAGTTCTAAACATCTTGCTGTTGGTCCAGTGTCCATTGCATCCTTAGTAATGGGCACAATGTTGAGTGAAAATGTGTCTCCTGTTGATGACCCTATTCTTTACCTTAAACTGGCTTTCACTGCCACTTTCTTTGCTGGTTTATTTCAGGCATCTTTGGGGGTTTTAAGGTAATCTTTTATTTGTATTCGACCGGAATCCGACGTTATACTGAATTAGTGTTTTAATGGATTCGGATTTATGGTTTACAGATTGGGGTTTGTGATTGATTTTCTGTCCAAGGCGACCCTTGTTGGATTCATGGCTGGTGCTGCTGTCATTGTGTCATTACAGCAGCTCAAGGGACTGCTTGGAATTGTTCATTTCACTTCCAAAATGCAATTGATTCCTGTTTTGAAATCTGTATTTCACCACAGAGAAGAGGTAAGTGAGTGTCTTCATCAATGTTGCTTTAACTTGTCATATTTTTGAACTACTTGTGTCCGAAATTTGTATCAGACTCGTATTTGGATACGAGTACGGAATATGATCCTTAAGGACTCTTTAAATACATGAATCCTAGAATAAAATTGAATACTTAAGTTCGACACGAACTAATATCCGACACTCGTACTCGAATTTCCAAAGATTAAGTTTTACTCTGGAAGAAATGTGCAATGTGGTAAAAATATTGGTTGAATTTTTATGCAGTGGTCCTGGGAAACTATTGTAATTGGATTCAGCTTCCTGTTGTTTCTGTTGACAACAAGGCATATTGTAAGTACCTCTATTTTACCAACAAAACCGAACGGATCCGAATCGATAGAATCCGGTTTGGGTCGTCTCCATTGTTAGCTCTTTAAAGTTTTGATGTTTGAAACACATGATGCAGAGCATGAAGAAGCCGAAGCTTTTCTGGATATCAGCAGCTGCCCCATTAACATCAGTGATTCTCTCAACCCTGTTGATCTTCTGCATTAAATCAAAAGCTCATGGAATCTCAATTGTAAGAACTTATACTATGATTCTACTTTATATATATATATATATAATAACATCTTTTAGAAACATGTTCACCAAATCTATCTATTTTCTTTCACAGATTGGCCACTTGCAGGAAGGTTTGAATCCATCTTCATCCAACATGATATACTTTAATGGCCCATATCTGGATTTAGCTATCAAAACTGGCATTGTCACTGGGATACTATCCCTTACTGTAAGTTTACCAGCACTTCCACCGGTATATTCGAAAAATTTTCAAAGTTTTTTATGTATTCGGAGGATTATATCTTGTACCTATGTCCGCTAATGCATTGAATGATAATGCTAAACGTTAATACGCTAAAAAATGAAGAGTCGGAGTAACATAATACTGATTTGTATAAACACTTTTGCAGGAAGGGATTGCAGTGGGAAGGACATTTGCTTCTCTAAAGAACTATCAAGTTGATGGAAACAAGGAAATGATGGCTATCGGTCTCATGAACATGGCTGGTTCTTGCACTTCATGTTATGTTACAACAGGATCGTTTTCTCGATCTGCAGTAAACTGCAATGCTGGTGCACAAACGGCGGTCTCGAACATCGTATTAGCGACAGCGGTGGTGGTGACTCTGCTGTTTCTGATGCCACTCTTTTATTACACCCCGAATGTGATCTTAGCAACCATCATCATAACAGCAGTGATAGGGCTCATTGATTATGAGGCTGCTTACAAATTGTGGAAAACCGACAAACTCGATTTCTTGGCCTGTATCTGTTCCTTCTTTGGGGTTCTTTTCGTTTCCGTTCCTCTGGGACTTTCCATTGCAGTAAGTCTTTTGCTTTCTTCTCTTCTCTTCTCCTAGTTTACCAATAATTTCACAATGATTCGGCCTGAAAATTGCAGGTGGGAGTGTCGGTATTCAAGATCATGTTGCATGTAACCAGGCCAAACACTGTAATATTGGGGAACATTCCAGGAACACACATATACCAAAGCCTCAACCGGTACAGAGAAGCTTCAAGGGTTCCTTCGTTTCTCATAGTAGCCATTGAATCTCCAATATACTTTGCAAATTCAACTTATCTGCAAGAAAGGTAATTTCCTCAATTCGTTTCATATTTTAGCAGATTTCTTGTAGAGCAAGGCAAATGGCTTGCCTGACTGAATGCTAGTTTTGTTTGTTTAAAGGATGCTAAGATGGGTTCAAGAGGAGGAAAAAAGCATTAACGCAAACCATGGAAGCACTTTGAAATGTATCATTATTGACATGACTGGTAAGTTTCTCCATAAACCCTTCTTTAAAGGATTCATATTCGAACAGTTACACCTGCAGAGTGTATGTACGTTGTCAATAAATCAAGAAAAAAATCGCAAACGGAACATAAACATCATATATCATATGGGTTTATATGAATTTCCTACTGTATTTAGCTAACAGTAATGCAATATTCTCAGCTGTGACAGCCATAGATACAAGTGGGATCGACATGGTATGCGAACTAAAGAAGATGCTGGACAAAAGATCACTTCAGGTAAATCACCCAATGAATTTTTCGATCTTCGTTTAGCTTTTGAGAAGCTGATATGGTTAAATATTCCATTAATGAAGCTAATCTTGGTAAATCCTGTGGGAAGTGTGATGGAGAAAATGCATCAATCGCATATCTTAGATTCATTTGGAACGAATTCATTGTATCTCACAGTTGGGGAAGCAGTGGATGACATTTCAGCTTCATGGAAGACTCAACCATGAATTACATTGTAGAGAAGACAACTGAAATCAGTGAGAGAAAGATTATGAAAGCTAATCTTATCATGATGAGAAATCGAGAAGATTATACTGAGGAGATTAAGGGGATTGCGTCGAGTCAATTTCTCTTACTTAGGAACCATACAAACCGCTTGATATAATGCCCCAAAATCTTAAATAAGGACTAAATTGAAAAGCTAAAAAAATAATAGTCTTTAATATGTTTTATTTTCTATTCGTTCATATAAGTATGTTTCAAGTTAGTTATGAATGTGTGATATGTATATTAGCGTGGTATAATATAATGTGTTATATGTAGTTAGTATATGGTTCGAAATTAATTAAATCTTCTAGAATATAATTTGAGTTTCAAAACCAGAAAATAAATATTATTATTTTTTATTTTGTTATAAAATGAATATCGCGCCATTAGTTGTCATTAAACATTATTAAAGGGATAAGATAATATATTGAATCAATAGATAATATTTTATTTTGTCCCTAGAAAATTTTATTTTAATATTTTCAATATTTCTAAATAGCAATTTTAGAAAATTATTTTTATTTTTAAAATTATTGTCACAAGAAATATAATATTCATCATTAAACATTATTATAAGTTAAAGGGAGGACATGAGTGTAAGTAATGAAAGATTTTTTTTAAAATTATGATTTATGTAAACTTTTTTCAAAATTATAAATTTGAGAATTTTTTCATAAATCATAATTGTAAAAAATAATTTACAGTTTTACAAATATCTTATAAATTTGTAAATATTTAAAAATTAAATTATTATTTCAAAATATTACAAAATATTAAAATAAAATTTTAAGTATAATTAAGGGATAAAATGAGATATTATTTATTAATGTAAATATTATATTACTTTTAAATGTAGTAAACAAGCTAATGTTCATTTTATAATAAAATTAAAAGTTTAATATTTATTTTATAATTTTTAAAAATTCAATAATAAATTTTGTTGGTCAAATATATATAATTAAAAATATTAAAATATAATTTAATAATTATTTATATATTTTATTTATTTATACAACAATTCCTTCGATATGTTAGAATGCAAAAAATAGTTAAATATATTTTTTTGTAGTAAATAAAAAAATAATTAAGAAAATATTAAAAGATTTACTATTATCCTTAGAAATTTTGAGTTTGAGTTATAATAAAATATAAACGTTTATTATCAATTGATTGAGAGTCTTTGAACATATATTACATTTTATTAATCTTAGATTTAACAAAAATAAATATAAAGGAAATATTAAAATCAGACATAATGATAAAATCCAATAATGATAAATTAATATAGTGATATAAAATGAAAAGGTGTATTTTTTTTGTTGATAAATTTAAAAACAAAAAAGGGAAAAATAATTATAAAAACTCTGGGGTAGGAAGGACGATGGCATTTCCATATCCAACCTCATTATATATTTCATTTCATAATTTATATTTTAAAAATCTCCTTCGGATCTCTCTCGTCTCTCTCTCTCTCTCACTAGGGTTTTGCCTCTGCTCTTTTTGTAAGTCGCCAATCCATTCTCTCTTCTTCTTTTTTATCTAAATCTTCAATTTCTTTTACATTTATGTTTGGTTTTTTTTGTGATTTCTGCTTTTTATAATTATATTTTGCTTACGAAATGAGGTCTACCTAGTTTGTTTGGGTTTTTTTTTTGAGATATTATTGAATACTCATGTTATGGAAAACGTCAGATTAATGTTATGGTAGCTTTTGTAAACGAAAGGAAATAGTTATAATATAGGAAGAAGTTAACCCTTCTATTTTTTATTTTCTCTGCTTTAGCTGAAAGAGTGTCATTTCTATATTGCGTTTGATGTTTAAACTGGGAAAATTATTCTTAAGGTTGCATCTGTTTTATGTTAAACCCCTAGAAAATCGGGTTTCTCCCTTTTTTTAACCCCAAAAAGTATGTTTATATGATAATGTAAAGGGCTCCCCCCCCCCAAATTTAAATTGTTAGGTTATGTTATTGGATCTTCCATTACATATTTTTCTGTTTGATTTCGTGTTAAATCTTCGAATGTGCTGATACCGGTGCTGGTTGGCCAACTTCTGCTTTTAAACTTCAATATTCATTGTTTGATTCTTTTTTACATGTTCCTTTGATTATTATCATATGGATTCTATCATGTTTTCTTTTCCATTTTCTTTTATATATTTTGGCTGTTTTATAGATAATAAGTAGTTTGAGGGAAATTGTAATTCTTAATTATAAGCTGAATAATAAAAAAGTGAAATGCAGAAAATGACATAAGTGGTGGGCAGTGGGTATTAATTTTTGAATATATGCTTGTCTCAGTGTTCTGTTTTATTGTGATTGATTGATGGACTATGCTCCATTCATATGTTTTAACGAGATTTTTACTGAAATCTGGGTATATTTTGTCTATGTATTGGTAAATATCTGTAGCTGTCACATAATTTTAGGTGAACTAATGTTCCATGCTCTTGCAACCGTTCCTTCACATTTCTCGCTGTCCACTTTTATGGTATAGTGAGAAACTAAAATTTGTTTTCTGATAATTTCGTTGGATCTAACATTTCTGACGATCTTCAGATATCCTAGCTTGAACAAAAAAAATCCTCAAGTTTTAGTTTATTGGCTTCTTGCTGCAATGGGGGATGCAGAAAATGCCCTTCCACCTTCAAAGAAGAGGGCTGCTGGAAGAGAGATTTCTCGGGATAACCCTGGGCTTGATGATGAAGAAGATTCTTCTGAACAAGAGACTGGAACATTTAAGAGGGCTAGTGAAGAAGTTTTGGCAAACAGACGAATAGTCAAAGTTCGCAGAAATCAAACTTCTACTGCCTCACCCAATCCTTTTTCTGGGATTCGCTTAGTTCCCCCTTCTGGACAAACTGTTGCTCCTGCTGCACCTAGTGCAGCCCATGAATCTGGCACAACCACCACTCAGGTTACAGCTGCTGCACCAATTTCCAGTGAGAAAGAGGTTTCTGATGAAAACGACATTAACAAATCTGAAAAGAGTGAAGATGGAAATAATCATCTGTCAGAGAAAAAAACTGATGAAACAGGGTCTGAGCATGCAAGTGAGAATATTAAGCAGTTGCAAAGTAAGAAGGATGAGCCAGTTTCAGATACCCTTGCTGATAAGGAAAGTGCTGAGGATAAGACCAGTGATGTTGTAAAAGAAGAAACTCAAAAGGAGGCCAATGATGAAAAACCGACTGGAGTTGTTGAGACCAAGGATGAAGATAAGAAAGATGACAAGACTTCAAATGCTGATAACAAAGATAATAGTGAAAGTGCAGATTCAGCTGCAGAAGGTGCATCGTTGAGTTCATTCCAACAGCTTTCTAGTAGCCAGAATGCCTTCACAGGACTAGCCGGCACTGGATTTTCTACTTCTTCATTTTCCTTTGGATCTACTACAAAGGATGGTGGTACAGGTTCATTTGGTTTTGGTCTTTCTGCAAATGGGAACTCTTCCCTCTTCAACGCATCAGGGACCTCAATTGTTTCCAAGAGTGAGGGAAGTGGTTTTCCTGCCATGCAGGAGGTTCCGGTTGAGACGGGAGAAGAGAATGAGAAAGTTGTATTCTCTGCTGATTCAGCACTGTTTGAATTTATAGATGGAGGCTGGAAAGAGCGTGGGAAGGGAGAACTTAAGGTGAATGTCTCAACAACTGGGGCTGAAAGAGCAAGGTTGCTCATGAGAGCTAGAGGAAATTATAGATTGATTCTAAATGCAAGTCTTTACCCGGATATGAAGCTGACAAATATGGACAAGAAAGGTATCACTTTTGCTTGCATGAATAGTACTGGGGAAGAGAAAGAAGGGCTGTCTACGTTTGCATTGAAGTTCAAGGATGCTTCCATAGTCGAAGAGTTCCGTGTTGCTGTAATGGTACACAAGGGTAGCTCTGTCACTGTTGTGAAGACACCCGAAAATTCCCCTAAAGCGACAGAAGCTTGAAAGGTATCTCCCTTAGATCTCTCTATCCTGAACTTGCCATTTGCAGTTGTCCTTCTTCGTTATGGAAGTATCAATGCTTGGACATGCTTTAATTATTCCTATTCTCTTTATATGCAGCAGAGTCCTAGTCAACGGAGACCAATCCAATCCGTTTTTGATTGCTATAAATCGTGTATGTAGGAGAGTCAATAGAGACCCATCCAGTTATGAACTACGTAGTTTGCGGGAGAATGTTTAAAGCTTTTTCTTTTTTCATGGTGTCAACCATGGAATTAAACTTGATGCTCTGCCAAGCGATCAATATTACCTTATTGTTTACCATAGCTGTGCCATTGATATGGGATAGATATGAATTGCAGTGAAATATATTTTTCAAAATTTGCAGGAGTAAAAGTGCGGATTTAGTAAAAATTTGAAACGAATTGAACCACGTAATTTACTTTGGATCAATTTTTTGATTTTCTCAAATTTATTATTCAGCACTATATCTTAGTAACATGTCTGGGAAGCTAATCAAACAAGAACTACTCTTCCAACTTCTTCATTCGTATTTGACCTACGCCTCACACGACACGAGTATTGGAATATAATTCATCCTCCGCAGCACATGAGAAAGCTAAGACAGTTTTGGCCTTTTGGGATATGATCATCCATACACGTTAAAGAATGCTTATTAAAATATTACGGTTCAAATTATGCCTTTTTTCACGGCGCTTAATTTTTTTTTAAAATCAAAATAGTTTTCTAATATTTTTAATATTACCATTTTAGGTGGTAGGTGTTTATTCGGTTGGGATTGTTAAAAGAACACCGTCCTCTGTTCAAAATATGACACATGATGAATTTATAATTTTTAAAAAAATTTATTTTAAATTTTATAAAAAATCTGTTTTTTTTCCCGGAAGATCTCAAATTTCTTGAAAATCTCAAAAATAAAAAATCAAATCTCCTAAAATCGAAATACCCAAATTCTAATGTTTTCCTCCTCCAATCGTCCCTTCTTCCTCCGTGTAAACTCGCCGTCAACGACTATGACATGATCTTTGACGGCAGCTACTGCATCCTTCTTCCTCCAATTAATGGATGAATGCTATTTCTCACCCACGCGTGGGGCCTAACAATCACACTGCTTGGCAATTCCCAAAACGTTGTACGCTTTTCCATGTTTCTGTATCCATTTGGAATGGCATGGCCATAGCAACATGGTATGTTCTCCAACTGGATTTGGATTTGTCGGAATGCCCTTATCGTCGTTGGCGACAAGTTTTCGACGGAGGGGAAAGAGGAAAAGGGGAGGCTGAAGGAGAAGAGATGAGAGATTTGAGCATTATGATTTTTTTTGTAGGTATTACAATTTTAGGGATTTAGATAATTGAAGCGACAAGGACATCAATGAGTGGGCGATGGCGATAATTGAGATTTTGAAATTTTTAGAGTTCATTTTTTCTAGAAAAAAAAATGAGTTGTTTTGTTAAAATAAACATTTTTAATTTTTTAAAAAATAATAAGAAATTATAATCAATGCCACATGTCAAGATATAAATTGATAACGGTTTTTTTAATGTAGGTTACAAATTATACATTCAGGGGGTGTTTGGTTCAAGGATTGTGGGATTCCCATGGGATGGGAATCCCACATTCCCATGTTTGGTTGGCCGGGAATCTCATTCCCGATAATGTTTTATTACCAATAGTAGATTTTTTAGGGTATATTACTGAGAATGTCATTACCTCCCTTCCCTTAGGTATTGTAATATTACCGACTTTTTGGACTAAAATACTCTTAAATTTTTATTTTTTTTCAAAAATATCCATCTCCTGTAATTAAATAATAAAAATTCTACGAAGGTTAAATTACAAATTTATCCTTAAATTATTTTAGATTTACAAAAAAAATCTATAATTAAAATTTTATATGAAGTCAGAGATTAAATATTTTTTTACCCTTTCATTAAACTTTTTTTATATTTTTAATTTGTAAAAAAATTATATAAATATTATGAATTTAATTTTTTAAAGAAAATATATAAATATTTTACAATTTGTAATATTATACAAATATATAATAAGGACAATTTGGTCAAATATACATTTTAATACTTTTTTATTCTTTTAAACAAATACGGTAATCTTACATTCCTACTAAACCAACCAAACACAAAATACAACATTCCCAGTAATCTTATTCTCTGGTAATATTTTATTCCCACTGGTAATCTTCCATTCCGTGAACCAAACGCACCTTTAAAATAATAATATCGGAAACACTAGACATCTACTTTGACAAAAAACAAATTTAAACGCCTAAAATGGAAAAGATACATAGTTTGCCTAAAAAAACACTTAACTGATCATGCCTATGTACAACACAAATACTGGTATCCCAGCTCCTACTCAAGTCTAAGTGAGATGTGGAACAAGACAGATATTCATCAATCTTTCAGAACCCTTTTTCTTTTTTCAAGTAAAGAACAATGCAGGATTATTTCAGAAAGATAAAAGGAGAAACAAAAGATAAAAGTTTCGTTCGTGAAAGAATCCATTAAAGCATAAAAAGAACAAGCTCCTCAGATCTTCCACTTTTTTCTTATTAAAAAGAAAACCCGCCGTTCTGATAATCATAGTCAGAATGCTCTTCCTAATCTCTATAAAAGATTCAGAAAAGCTAGAAAACTCCTTCCCCAAACCCCCATTAAAAAAAAACAATTGCGACAGTGGTTTAGGCTTGAACCACAACATGCCTTATCTTTTTCGTCTTTTAAGGACCGAGTTTCACTGGAGGCGCAGAGCAGGACTGAAACAGATCCCAGATGTTTTCCAGTCTTGCAGTCTCTTTTTTGAAAAATTAGTAGGATGAACCCTGTAGTTATTCTCCTAATAAAGAACCCTTCTTAGAGCCTTGAAATGCACATAAATGGAAGAAACCAATCTCAAATGTTTAATAATATAGCAGGCAACAGAAGACGTCGATTAAGAATGCATCATAGCGTGCACCTAATCCTCTGAACAATACAAAATGTGTATCACAATAAGCTTGCAAGAGAAATACAAATAAAATCTTCGTTATTGCATTATGGATCTTTCTTTAGTAAAGAGTGGTACACCATAAGAACCTGCCACATAAAACAAAATGATAAAAGCATGATACTCACAGGTCTGGCATCTGGCCGATAACTAATTTGGAAGAGTCTTCCTTATTTCCATGGCCATTCTTCATCATTAAAGCTGAAATATTTACTAAAGTCAACACCTAAGAATCAAAGTATCGACAAATCAGAACTTGGAATTTTCTAAGGTAATTATCATGTTCTGAGCAGGATATTATTTGCCTATTAAGAACCAAGCTTAATATGAAAAGTGCATTAGCAGAGGCATAGAAGACAAAAATAATGGTTCTTGTAGTCTAAAATCTAGAAAGAGGAATTGGCTGTCAGTTTCATGTTGACAAGGAGCAAATGCATAACTCCAAGAAGCAAAGATATAATGTTTATGGATCATCAAACACCACAATTCAGATGCATTCTTCATTCAGACAAAAATGGAATCAAAAATCCAAAACAGTTTAGCAACCATCTTTTGTTATACAAAGAGAAATAAAAGTTGCAAGCAAAAGAGCTCCATGTGTAAAAAGGGCAATAAAAAAGGATAGAGAAGAGATCGCATGATGACTTACGAGAATTATTTCTATTCTCCTTGAGAATTCTCATTCATCACGGACTTATTGAGGTGGTACAACAAATTAATTGAAATGAAAATGGAAACTGCCCTTGCTTTGATATTAACAGAAAGAAATTATATCTTCAATTAGTTCTGTGAAACTACAACTGCATGGAGTAAAAGAAATTATCAAAATATTTTTAATCTGTGTTTATACTTCAATCAAACTGGCCCTTTTTCAAGTCATCATCCTGATTTAAGCTTCATTAAAACCAATTGCAAAGAATACAATTGAGTTGAGGAAAAAGGCGGTATCCGACTTCTAACCAATGTCATTATCATCTTAGCCTTACCCAGTTGCCCATTTTTCACAAGGCCTTGAAGCAATGAATGAATAGTATCCACATTTGGAAACCATTTCTTGCTCATGCAGTCTTTACACCTTGTATAGGCCAAATTGTACTCCCCTCCCTTGCAGAGATAATGAATCATGGTCTGAAAAATCTTAACATTGATCTTGTATTCACTACAACATTCTAGAGAAGAATAAACCCTTTTAGCCATTTCAAGATAACCGGCCTGGCAAAAACCTTTGATTACCAAATTGTATGTGACCTCATCAGGGTCTATCCCAGTTTTCTGCATTAAACGCATTGTATCATTTGCTTGCCATGCCCGCCTCCTATTAATCAAATACTGGACCCTAACATTAAAAGTTGCAAGATTAGGTCTGCACCCCTTATACACCATAAGATTCCACAACCCATTCCCAATCTCGCACCGGTTTTTCTTATAAGATGCTGATATAAGAGTTGTGTAGGTAATAACATCTGGATTTATTCCCAGCTTTTCCGTCTGTCCCATGACCAAATATGCGCTATCCAGGGAATCCATTTCACACAATGCTTTGGTAACTATATTGATTGTATATGCATCCAATTCAATATCAAATTTTGATTTTGCATTGGTAACAAACTCCTCGATAGCTCTTATATCATGAGTCTGAATCATAACCATAAGCGCAGCATTGAAAGATTTAACAGTTCTCTTACATCCATACAAGTGCATATCATAAAAAGTATCAATAGCATGCTTTACCATCCTAGCCTTACCATACAACATTATAATCCTCATAATGAAGCCTTCTCGCCTTCCCTGAGGAAGAGTTTTCTGGTGCTCGAGTAAATGCTCAATGTAATCAAAGCGACGTGCCCCAGCTAATCGATCAACTATATCTTCAAACACAAACTTGTTTTCGATGACAACTTTATTGTGGGCATTAGCCTTGAATAAAGCAAATAGCTTATCAGGGTCCCTTTCAGCTTTCAGTTTGGAAAGGGCACTTTCTTGTAAAGGTAATGCCTTTGGTGTCTGCTTTGAGCAAGCTACAGAAGTACTAGTTTTCGACGCAATGGCAGCGGGGGCGACAGCAGCAGCATGACAGATTCTGCGAATTGGTCGCAGAGGTAACATGTTCCAGTATCTTCTCACCCATAAGACACCAATGTAACCAAATCCTTTTCACCCGTTTCAACAAAACGGAGAATCCCAGAACCATGAATCCAGCCAATGCACAAAAACACTAAGACGACTTTCATCAAACAAAATATAACCAGATACCAAAAACATTTCTTCAAGGAATCATCATCAACAAGTCCACAGAAGCATGACACCCAAATATTGAAAATAGAACCAGGTGCACAATCTTGAATAACTAGAAGAACCCAGACACTAGATCACCCAAAATCTTAAAATTATAAGGTGCTAAGTATAATCCAAAGAAGCAACCCTTTCCTTTGATAGAAAAACAAAGACTTGAAGCGGATAAATATGCTGAAACAAAAGAAAAAAAAGTTAGAAAGGATCTGAAAGAGAGCTGGCCATTGCTTTCTACTGGTTGTTGGAGGATTTGAGGGGCGGGAGGTGGGGGTTCTGGGGTTTAAGTTTTGCCATTTTAGTTGGGAGTTCAGAGTGGTAAGCGTGGACCTCTATGGGTGTTTTGATTTAATGGATCTGAATTCTATACCGTGTCTAAATACGGGCCTCGAAAATAGTGCAACTTTCTTATGTGTGTTTGGATGAGGAATGTGAAATTTTCGGGAATATGAGATTCTCATGGGAATGAAATCCACATTTTTTCGTTTGGTTAGGTCGTGAATCTCATTCTCGGTAATGAAATATTACTAGTAGTGGATTTTTTGGGGTATATTATCGGGAATGTCATCACCTCATTTTCTTTAGGTATTGTTGGATTAACGACGTTTTGGACTAAAATGCCCTTAAATTTTTATTTTTTTAAAAAATATTTTTCTTCTGTCATTAAATAATAAAAATTCTACGAATGTTAAATTACAAAATTATCTTTAAATTATTTTAGATTTTAAAAAAATATATATAATTAAAATTTTATATGAAGTTCAGGAGTTAAAATAAAATTTTACCCTTTCATTAAATTTTTTTTATATTTTTAATTTTGTAAAAAAATTATATAAATATTATGAATTTAAACTTTTTAAAGAAAATATATAAATATTTTTCAACTTGTAATATTATACAAATATATAATAAAGATAATTTGGTTAAATATACATTCAAATAATCTTTTATTCCTTTAACCAAACACGGTAATCTTACATTCCTGCTAAGCCAACCAAACACAAAATACAATATTCCCTGGTAATCTTACATTCACACTGATAATTTTACATTCCGTGAACCAAACGCACCCTTAAGGTTTGTTTGTTTCATCTAATTTATTTTAGATGAAATATTTATTAATTAATGTAATTCATTTTCTTCGTAATTTTTTTTATATTTTTTATATTTTTTTCATTTTAAAGTATAAGTAAAATAATATTATTTTATATATATTTTTTTGTTTAATACGAGCAATAAACTAAAGCTATAGTCATCTTGAACCATTGTGAATATTATATGATATTATTTAATTATTCATGTTGTGAGTGATAACCAATGAAGGAAGATTTTGGTTGAATTTAGTGATTAAATTAATATTTTATTTAAAGTGTAGAGGTTAAAATAATATTTCATTTGAAAATTATTACATTTAAAGTTTAAGGGTCAAATTAAAAAGTAGCCTCTTTTAATTAACATGACACGTTATCAGGCTAACGTAAGTGAATGACTCATTGACCAAATATAACAATTGATAATATGACAAAAATTTAATAAATTAATAACGCAAGTGACCGAAATATACATTGTTTTAAATTTGATGAGCAAAAATGTATAAATATAAAAATAAAGTGATTAATCCGACAAATAATCCTACTAATAATTCATAATAATATTATTTTAATATTTAATTTTGTGACATCAATATATAGGTAAAAAAGGTTTAAATACACCATTACCCGAATTATACATTTTCTATTGAATTATTTCTTAAAACTGAAATCGTTATCTCATTTATTTATGTGATTTTATTTTGGTCACCAAACTATTTAATTTTTTAAAATCATCTTTATTTCGTTTTGATCATCTAATTTGATTTGATATGTTTTTTAAATTTATAAAACTTATCTGTATGACATTTATTTACTCGACACGTAAATTTAATTTATAATAATAAATAATATCATGATGTAAATAATAAATAACGTATATAATAAGATGCCCCGATAAATATTTTTGGGGTATTTCGATAAAAAAAAAACTATATAGTTAAGCCAAAAGAAAAACTAAATCTAAAGCGACAACCTTGGCAGTACATCTATCATTCATTCCGATTCGACTCAACAAGTCTACTGATACTGTCCACCAACTGCCATACCACGTGGCAACAGCTGTGTCATACTTTATGCATCTTTGAAACGCTACAACAAGGCAAGAGCCGTCTGTTGATAACCCTTTCTGGCTTCTAACCCAAACTTCCACCCTCCCCTGCTCCGCTCTTTCTTTTCTCTGCAAAACTAAAATGGCAGTTTCATCATTTAGAAGCGGGCGTTTACCCTTTTATCATCACCCTCAGCTGCCTAGTAAAGCTTCTACTCCAAGATCTGCTGTTTCCTTTAAGAAGCTAAATGGGTGTTTCAATTCCACCTCCAAGTTCAGGGCTTTCCTTCTTTTTGCCCAGTACTCTCAATCATCTCAACAAGATCGTTTCTCCTCTCGCCTCCAAAGTAAGTACCCAGTCTTCCCCCTTGTTTGCTGCACCATTATTCAATCACCCGTCATTCTCTTATACTCTTTAATTACCACTCTCCTTTATCTTTCTCTTTGATTTGGATTTCCTTTATCTTTCTCTTGCTGTTAGATATTGATAGTTTTGTGTTCATGTGGTTATCAGGTAGCCTTGAGAACTTACCTAAACTGTTGGAGGATATTGTCCAGACATCTATAAGCACTGGTCCCCGAGGAGCTTTCAGGCTAGCTCAAGGTATTCAAGCATTTGTTGGTGTTGGTGGGGAATGGCTTGCTGATGTCTCTAGGGTATTTCTTCTCTTCTTTCTTCTATCTTTTCAAAGGTGCCGGATTCTAGTAGCTGCGTCCGTATGGTGTATGCATGTCAATAGGATAAGAAATTTTTGAACAGATACTACTTGTAATCACTCTAGACTGTTAAAAAAACCCTTAATTGATTGATTCTTCTAAATTCATGCAGTCCACAAATGAACCTACTGGAATACCATCTCAATTGCAGCTGGGGTTGCTTTCACCGCTTTACCTAAGGAAATTGTTTGAACGTATGGGTGCAACCTATATCAAATTAGGCCAGGTGAGTTTTATGATTTATTTATGTCTTTTCTGCCCAAGATTCTTACCGATCATAAACTGCCTGGTGGAACTTATATGGTATTGTTGCTCTTTGATACCATGTTACAGTTGTTCAGTTTCTTTGATATGTTGCCGGTGGTGTCATCTTAATTTTGGTAATATTTCCAAAAGAAAGGAGTTTCCGCATTAACCTTTACTGAATATAATTGATTCTATTGTCGTTTTCATATCTTTTGGTTAAACTTTTTGTGTAAAATGTTATGTAACCATTGCTCATCTAAGATTACATTTTGCCAGTTCATAGCATCTGCACCGACACTATTCCCACCAGAATATGTTGAGGAGTTCCAAAAATGTTTCGACAAAGCTCCTGAAGTTCCATTTGAAGATATTCAATCAATATTACGTCAAGAATTAGGGAGACCAATTGATAGCGTTTATGAATATATTAATCCAACACCAATTGCTTCGGCCTCTATAGCACAGGTCTTAATCTTTTCTTTAATGCCTTTTTGTCCCCAGAATTACTTATATTTTATGGCAGTTGTTTGTAGCTATTGAATCGAACCGTACATTATTGTATCTAGGTACATGGTGCAAGACTTAAAGGCTCCCAAGATGATGTAGTTATAAAGGTATTGAAACCTGGAATTGAGGATATTTTGGTGGCAGACCTGAACTTCATATATCTAGCAGCTCGAATATTGGAGTTCCTAAATCCTGAATTCAGTCGTGCTTCACTGGTAAAAATGATATTGTAAACTTTGAGCTTTCCTGCTTTATTTATTTATATTCGCTGTTCTATCATTTACTTTATGTATTTAAGTTGGAGTGAGGGAGATATTGGAGGTTAAGGTTACCTACTTAGGTATTATTTCACTTATTATTTTTTGGGTCAAACCAGCAAATCATGGATGTTAGCAATGTCTTAACTCAATAGCATGTGCGCTATTAATCTCTGAAACTACAAAAACTTGGGATATCTTTATATTTTATTGCATCCTTTTTCTGTCACTCATTCTTCTTTCAAAGTTCTGACATTTCAAAAACTTTTATTATAAGAATATTTTCCTTTCAGTAGGTTGCCGTTGTTAAAGACATTCGGGAATCAATGCTTGAAGAAGTTGACTTCTATAAGGAGGCTAAAAATATTGAATCCTTCAGGAGATATCTTGAATCCATGGGATTAACAAGACAGGCAACAGCTCCACGAGTGTACAACCATTGCAGCACACGGCGAGTTCTGACCATGGAGAGGCTATATGGAGTTCCTCTTACTGATTTAGACACTATAAGTTCACTTGTCTCTAGCCCAGAGAATAGTCTTATAACTGCACTTAATGTCTGGTAAGACTAGAATGATCGACACACTTTTGAAATTTGAATGTATACCTGTCACAGGAATGTAGTTGAAGCACTAAATGCTGTTGACATGAATAAATGTGCAGGTTTGGTAGTTTACTTGCTTGTGAAACCTTCCATGCTGATGTGCATGCAGGCAATTTATGGTTACTGTTTGATGGTCGCATTGGGTTTCTTGATTTTGGTAAGTTCCTTTTCTCTTTTTGTGTCTAATTATTTCAACTATAGTATAATTTTTTTTATTATAGGGTAAAGGAACATCAGTTACTAATTTGGGATGAAGGATCATACTTAGTTTTTATGCTCTTAACAAATGAGCATGCATGATCATATGCGTTTATTTCACGCAATAAGTTAAGACATTGTTTAATGAGCTGTTATATGTTGGCATACTTTTAAGCATTAACCCAGCCTAAAATGGTTGTATTGACAATGTCGTGTTTAGTCTACATTTTAAAGGAGACACCATTAATTGCACTTGTTGATTTTATATGATTACTATGTTTTATTTCTTTTTTCAAAACCGGTTGTCCATTCATAAAAACAATATTATGTTTTTTCATTAGGTGATTTAAATGTACAGGTATTGTTGGACGAATATCACCAAAGACATGGGCTGCAATGGAAGTATTTTTGGCTTCTATAGCAACTGAAGAGTATGAATCAATGGCATCTGCCTTGACTGAAATGGGAGCAACCAATCAGAATGTCGATACTAAGGCCTTTGCAAGAGACTTGGAAAAGATATTTTCATCTATTCAGGAAAGCAAATGAAACCCGAAAAGCTTACCAAGAAAAAGCGAACAAACAATATCCTTAGAACCACGTGTGCACCCATCACACACACACAGAGAAACAATCACAAAACCCCCCATTTAAACAGATAAATTGCCGTTGACCTAACATTACATTGCCTTGGACCAACAAGTCTTCTTTATTGTTGAATACCCATGGATGATTTATCCACCGGAATTTTGCTATTAATGCACCATCAGAGACTTAAAGCATTACCGTTTCCTTAAACTCAGTAACCATAAATTTTATAGGTATTGTGTCCGTTTAACTGTAAATTTAAATAAAGTTCTGTAGTGGGAAAGTAAAGAACTTTTATTGTCTAGGAATAATGAGGTTATCTTTATTGAAAGATCTACTGAAAGATACTCCTTAACTAATTATCTCTTGTTATGAAGTTCCTGTTCAAGCTTCCCTTGTTCAAATCCTAAATTAGTGCTTCCTTATTATTCATGCAGGAACTTGATACGGAGGTAATTGTTGCCACTGCCCGAGGGACAAATACAAATGCAACTGCTGTCTCTGCAAATATAATTGTCGATGAGCGACAGATGAATGCACTCTTTCTTGATGTGGTAAGTTGTTTTCATATATGAACTATGAAGTTCATTATCCAGATTTTGAAGCCAATACGGAAACGCTACACTGCAATTATTATATCGAAACTTAAATTACATCTATATTTAGATCTTTAATTCTCTTTTGTTAGAGACTCTAGTGTTGCCATGTCTGGTATTTTTGAGAGAGTTGACATGGCATGTTCTAAAAATGTCTAAAGATTGGCATATAAATTTATTGAGAAAAGAAAGCAAGACAAATACACTGACCGGCTCATAACGCCCCCTCTTCTTCATGTCTGCTGTACTACCGGTCTATGAATAACTTGTTGCTACTTTTAGTCCATTTCTCGGTTCTTTTTTAACATTTCAATCAGGCAATAACCGCTCCAATCCTGACCGCATATGGTGACAGATTATTTTTCTGAGTTATAATAAGAGTGGAAGTAAAGGGGAATTGTTAAAAGCCCTTTAAGAGTAATGTCAACCATAATGGATCTTGTTTATGGTGATATTAATATAGGTCGTTTCTATTTTTTTTTTTTTTTTTGCTCTTTGCAGGTTCGGGTGAGTGAGTCATATGGACTGCGATTTCCAAGGGAGTTTGCACTTCTAATGAAGCAACTTCTGTATTTCGACCGGTATACACGGTTGCTTGCCCCCAACATGAACATGCTTCAGGACCAAAGGATAACCATTGTGTCTAATAGACGAAGCAACTACAGGGACAACTTGAGATAGATAATTCTATTTGCTTATATTCCCCTCTTTTATGTATATGCAAAGAACAAAGAATGGGGCTACTTAATGGTTAATAGTTATATTCACTGCATATTGCACAGGCTTGTAGAGAAAGCTGGAAAAAAAATCTTATAATTCTCCGTGTTACTGATGTATTGGTTCCCTAAGAATGCAGGATATATTACAGAAAATCATTTTCGACAAACGCATCATATTTATATGCAGTTTAATTGAAAATAGTTTATTTTTCCTTTTTTGTGGGAAATTGTCAGATATGGGTTGGGAATGTTATGATTGGATGCAAGTCATAGCGATCATATTTGTCATATTCATTTTCCAAGTTTTATGAAATTTCAACCATTTTTAATTTCGTAAATTTAACATTTATTTTATGTTTGCAGAGTTGTAACCATCTCTCTGTTATTTACTTGCTCAATACTGCCAAGGATATCTCCGTTCTGCTTGTAATTTTATTTCTTCTGAGTTGAACCCTTAATTTCCTTTTAGTATAAAAGTAAACAGCTCAATATTTGAGGGGCAAACTCTAAAAACAATTAAGTCAAATGTACCATGCGTAAGGGGGAGTCTCATACCCTAAAGCCTTACTAATTCATGAGCCTTTTCTACTGTTACAACTTGCCAGAAAAATAAAGAACATAGCTTCTATCCGATGCAACAAAAATTACACAGTATTGGAATTGTCATCCAATGCTTCACCGGAATGGACCGAGGTTGAGCCAGATATGGATGATACAATTCCATCTATCAAGTGGCTTGGTGAAGAATATCCCATGAGGCGGTGAAGTGATGTACCTCCACTTCTTGGTGGCAACTCTTCAACTTCCGAGGACAATGGTTCAGTTGAATCAAAAGCTTCCTTTGAGGTTCTATTTTCTCTTTGAGATTGCTTCGAACAAATTCCTTTCTCTGTTTGTAAGAGCTGCAACACGTTTTTAGTATCGATACTGCCATGAGAAACGGGATCTCCATCAGTGGAACAGCTTTACAGAACGAGTACTGTCCATAATCATCGACATAGGATCTTCTTGCACAACACCAAGGCTACGTGATGCTAATGTCGAAATCCTTGCATTAATTGCATCGCTGCAGCCATCGAACCTCACGCGTTGGAGGTTCTGTAGCAACAGTTCATATGGCACTATATGCATTCCTTTTAGAAGTGAAATTTAAGTTTAAGTACCTTTGCACAAGCACCGCATCTTAGCTGATGCAACCTCCTTTTGAAAAGTAAAAAATCTGCAGGTAACTGCAACGGTGTGAAGCAATAATACAGCTATAAAAGGTGCACCACCTGCTGTCGGACGGAGATGTCGCCTACTGAATGATGTTTCTCCCAAATACCGCTTCAGCTCATGATCTCTGTACCTCTGATTAGAAAAACCAGACTCTAAATATCTTAGGGGACTAGAGGGGAAAGAGCTATAGGCATAGTAACCGATATGACCAGCTCTACAAAGTTCTCGCTTCTGCATAAAGATGGGCGGATGCGAGTGTTCCGAGCTGTGCTGCCAGTCTTGAGGATGGCAGCATAAACAGGAGCCGTCAATGCTATATCTGGTGTTTATTGCACTACCTGAGGAAGGCATATGCACGAATCTACTTTCCCGGCTCCAGCTGCTTTTCGGTCCATGTCTTCCATTATGTCCAAGATAAAAATTTTCACCCTCGGGAGACTCTTGACAGCAATATGTAGCAAAATGGTCTTGCCTCCATGGTACATCAGTGGAAGGCCTTCCATTGAGATGGCATGTTTTGGTAATTTGGTCTTGCAGTTCAGACAGCACTCTAACATTTTCATATTTCTTGCTCAGTGCACTCAATCTTCTTATGTGGATAGAAGGTTGAATCGAAAGGGAACTTGTCTTGCGATTCACGTGAAGGGCCAGCACTTTCGTAGCCATGCAGGTAAGCCTTTTGAGACAAAGGAATATGAAGTGGACGTTCATCTGTGTCAAGTCTTGATGAACTTCTTGGTGGACAGTGACGATGCATAACAGGTTCTAGCTGTTCATCTCGATGCCCCATGCTGTACTTTTGAGCGGCATAGTGCTTCTTATTGGAAAAATCTAATGATAGATTTGTTGCAGGATCTTGCATACCAGAATTACCATTCATCTTACCTTTGCCCGGTAACTTATCCCTTCGGCGGATTGTTTCTTCAGGAACAAGATAGTTAGAAGTCTTACTGCAACTATTCTTAAATGAATATAATTTCTGATCATCCACTCCATCAGAAGTACTAAGACCAGAACTGGGGCTGTCAAAATCTGCATCGTCAAAAGTATCGACAGACCTTAAGCGTTCAAACACATGAAGTTCAGTTTTCGGATGTTGCTCCAAAAGATTATCCGAAACAATTGAATTAGTTCCTCTTGCAGCTTGTGGATTGTGAATGCTTGAGCCTCCATCAGTCTTGTCATTGCCTTGTAACTGCAAGGTATCCTCATTTGCCTCTGCTCCTGCTACATTCTCATTGCAAATGTCTAAATTTGCCTCTCCATTTCCATTTTTCTTCCCTTTATTTGATCCATTTTCATCAAGCTTTTTACAATCACTATCACCGGATGTATTCCAGATTCGATGCTTCTCGTGATGATCATTATCTCCAGCAGCAGCAGCAGATTGTGTGTTGCAAGCTAGATGCGGTATCCGCACCGGTTTTCGGTTTTTAGCTACAAGTAACAAGAAGAAATGGACGTCCAAATCTATGGCTAAATAATGTCTAAGAATACAAGAATCATACATGAAAATTATGAGACTGCTAGGTAACGGCTGAAAATTGTTAAGCAAATTGATAGGATATTCATTTCAACCTTCATGAACATCAAGAAACTAATCAAGAGACCATGTTTGGTTTCACAACAGTATTTTATTTCGTGGTAAAAGAGAATGTTGTTCTTTGGGAAGTTTCAAATTCGAGCAGCATGTCTTTATGGTGTATTTTATCAATTGACTAAGAAAATTCTGACAATATATTACCCGTAATCACCCAAATAATTATTAAAAGGTGCAAGATGGTTACCTAAAAGAATCGTATCACAGCCTCCACATTTATATACAGGGAAATCTGGGACTTCCTGAAGAACCAACCGGCATTTAGGACATCTAACTAGTCGAAGTTCGGAATTGTTCCACCGGCCATATTTGCTCTCAGATGTCTATCTTTGCCTTCTGCAACAGTAAAAAGGGCAGCTTGCAGAACTGAAACAAACAAAATCTCGCGGGGTCTGCAAACAAAAACCTCTGTGAGTGGGGTTTGGACCGGAGTTTCGTGATGTTTAAGGCATTGTTGTTGTTATTATTACAGACAAGACCCTGACTTCAAAGACCAAAGCATAGCTCATCATCATCATATGGTGCTGCTTTTTTTCTTCTTTATTTTTGTGTTGTGTGAATGAAATGGATAAAGGAGGAGTTAAAGTTGGCGCCGATGAAAATTGAAGTTAAAGAGAGGGAGATGTCGTTGTTTTAGGTGAAATTGAAAGATACGGTTACCTGTGGGACTCTTCCCATTGGCTGCCACGTAAAATAAATAACCTCTTTAAGGCAACTATCTCTGCCTCTGACCATACCTAAATGCTGCTAAAAAACACAAAAATGCCATTAACTCTTCATATCATCATTATGGTTTTCTTTTTAAGTTCTTTTTTTATTCAAATATCATCCATTAAACATATATTTTTTAATTTAATATCATTTGATTATTTTTAAATTAATATCTTTTTACTACGTAAAGTAAAGATACGAGCACATGTTAGACTGAAATAAAGGAAAAGAGAACAGTGAGGTAAAAAAAAGACTTACAAGAATTTTGTTTAAAAAATAAATATATGTTTAAAAGATTATAAGTAAATATTTAAAACTTTATATTATTTAGATATGTGAACTTTCAAGTGTTCAAATATATTGTTAAGTGAATAAATAAAGCTAATATATGAATGTCAAAATTAGAAATTTAAATTACAATAACAGGTGTTATCATGGTCATTGTAGGTATTGTCGGACTACACTTTCACCGCCATATAAAACCGTTAGTTCGATAACGGACCGTTCGCTTGATTTGGCTTATGTTTGTTTAATTATGTATCTTTTGATACGCGCTACGCGTGTTTATTCTTTTTGAACAGAATTTTTATTTCTATACATTTTTACCTAATTTTTCTCTTTTCTTTCATTCCAATCCAACTTCAAAAGTTAGGACAGAGTCAAAATGTAAACCAATAGCCTCGTGGTACCTAGACAGAGTAGAAGTGAAGGCATTAGCCAGGTACTGGAAAAGGCTTTATGCATTGAATTTGAGAGAAGAATTAGATGCTTTGAAGAAAATGAACCTCAACACATATTGAGAAAAGGGGTTAGTTAAGTTTTGCAAATATTAAGGTATCTATGAGCGAAACAGAGATTGGGAAAGACCAGCACCAGGGGAAGTGGGTTTAAAGGGGGTTGGTTGAAAAGCTTAGGAGGGATTGTATTGATGATGATTGCAAGCAACTTTGAGGAAAAGGCGATTATTCTTGTCAAAGGCTAAACATTTCAACTTGAGATTTTTAGATGGCACACCAACTCTTACAATCAAAATGAAAACTCACATCAAAAGGGAATTCAATCTTCAAGAACAAAATGGAAACGATAGTAAATGCAATTCCATAAACAAACTTGGTGCCTGCCATAATGTGAATACTGATAACAAAACCAACGAAGTATTCCGAACCTCAATAACATCTCGTCAACTAAGGAATGATACCCAACACAACACAACAAACTCTAGTAAACTTAACAAAGAGTTCCCAAAAGCTTTTGAAAAGCACTCCAATTTTTTTCTAGATAGTCCAAAGTCCTGTTCTCAGACTTCCACCTCAGATAATCAGCACGGTTGTACTTGGTGAATCCCCTGACAAACACAGTTACAGCAAAATGATCTTAAGCCAGATTTGCATAACATGGGTGATGATGTTGCAAATATATCCAAAAAAACATAGAGAAAATATCAGATCTGTTTCCTAATACAAACTTATGTTCTAACAAGGTTGTAAATGTAGTTCAGAGATTGAGATAAATGGCATCTACTATCTTGAATACACTCAAGATTTTCAATTCCAGTCTAAGAAACAGAAATGCATACCACTTCCTGCTAACAATAATCTTTGACGACCAGGAAACTTTGAACTTTGCACGGCGAAGGGCCTCCTGTGCATGGTGGCTGTTGCTGTCCTTGCAACGAACTGAAAGCAGGACCTGACCAATGTCGACTTGCACATGTTCCTTGAGGTTTCCCGAAAGCACCCCTCATTCCAGTCTGAAGTCTATCAGCCCCAGCACATGAAAGCATCTTGTTGATCCGCAAAACATGGAAGGGATGAACCCTCACCCTCAAATGGAAAGCATCCTTCCCAGCAAATTTGGACATGTACTTGTTGCAGGCAATTCGAGCAGCCTCCAATGCCTCACTCGAGACATTCTCTTCTCCCAGCTCACAAGATGGACACAAAAGGGAACTCATCAACACCTTTCTTTTCATCCAACATCAAATTCTTATCTTAGGATCTGGGACACCACGGCAGTATCGATTTTGGATATGGCTTGTTCTTGATTTGGCGATAACACCTTGCGGTCCTACAGGAAAGAAGTTTAGAAAACCAGCACAAGTATGACTCTCAAAATCAACACAACAGAACAATGTTCTCATGGAATGCAAAAGAAGATTCTACAAACCTTAACATTAACTAGGGTTTGTACCCTTGGAAAAAGGGCATTCCCCAGTTTTTTTAAAAGCATTGCAATCAATTAACTGAGTCAGAATGGAATACAGAACCTATTATGGCAGAAATGTGGGATATGTAAATAGAAAGAGAAATTGCTTGATATTTACCATACAATTAAAGGGGCTATGCAAATGTAAAGACTGATTTGTAGGAAATGAAGCATGAAAAACGAAAGGAACACGAACAGCATCCAAAGTTAAAAAATAAACATCAGCAACCATGAGAATAATTAAAATTAGAGCAGAAGAGACTTGGAGAACAACTGTAATGGAAATTGGCAAGCGAGTAAGGAAGGAAAGATACTTACTTCTCCCCATGTCGTCTGGTCTTGAGAATAAGAGAACTGCGAATGAAGCGAGAAAACCCTAGCTGTCTCTATTTATTCATTTCAACTTCAAGAAGCTTCAGGCTTAGCCCATTAACCCAATCAAATAGCCCAAACCCTAAATCTGTTTTATTCTCATGCCCATTCTATCAATATCACAACAATTTCTATCTATTATTTGATTAAATTGATATAATTTAATTAAATATCTAAATCGAATAAATTAATTATATATAATTAATTTAGTCGTAATATTAATTTAAATACTAAAATATAATATATATATATATATATATATAATTAAATTAATTTTTATTTTATTTATTTTGTTTATTTAGTTCAGTGATATAAACGATACATCACTTAAAATACAATGGTATTTGGCATAGTTTACCTTTAATTTAACAATGATTAGTTTTATCTTATATATAAAAATATTAAATGCAAAAATTGTATAAATCAATTGATCTAGTGAGATAAATCACTAAATTCTTAAAGCAATATTAGGGGTTCGAACTTTGGTGTTTACGAATAGAGCAAATTGAGTTGAAAGGGTCACCCTCATATTTACGGTATTCGATCTGGATTAATTGATCAATAGATTAAATACGGATCTAGTGCCTCAAACGATAATAACAATTACTTTATCCATTAAAGTGGATTCATGCTTTGATGTACCTTGAGACTTGAGAGGAAGGGATTGATTTATTTGACTAAACTGATAAAGTTAAGGGACTAAAAAGTTATTTTACCTTTTTTTAAGGAAATTTCGAGATGGATAGATAATGTATGGAAGAGGCTAAAACGAATTAAGCCATTAACAAAATCAATCAATTATCAAATCAATCTACGCCTGAAATTACAGTTTCTATTCATCTTTGCACCAAGTTTTAGCAGTTCCAATTTATTTACTTATTAGTTTTTTCATTCCGTGATCTCCTTGCGCTTAACTTCAAAGGAAAATATGAAAATCTTTGAGATTCCTTGCTTAGAAGACAACTACTCGTATCTGTGAGTTCGTTTTCTATTTTTAATTTTCTGTTCTTGCTTGTTGATTGCTGAACTTTTTGACATCATTTTTTTAATTTAAAAAAGGGTCATAGATGAAAGCACAAAAGAGGCGGCAGTGGTGGATCCTGTGGAGGCGGAGAAGGTGGTTGAAGCGGCAAATCAGCATGGTGTTGTCCTCAAGTTGGTTCTGACCACTCATCACCACTGGTAATCACCATGATTTTCATCTTTACTTTCTTAAACTGCTAATATATATATAGCCTGGAACAAGAAAAATTCAACTTGGAATATCTTTGTTTTCTTTCCTTTGCTCTTCAATCCAATCTGCAGGGATCACGCTGGTGGGAATGATAAGATAAAGCAGTTGGTGCCTGGGATTAAGGTATATGGCGGTTCCCTTGATAACGTTAGGGGTTGCACTCATCAGCTCCAAAACGGTGATACCTTGTCTCTTGGCTCTCATCTCAAATTTTGGCTCTCCACACCCCTTGGTATTATTTACTCTTCTCTTCTCCTCTATTGCAACCCTCTTTGTTTGTTATTATTTTACCTGCGCTTGTTTTTTTTTTTTTTTTGCCACTGCCTATAATGGCTGTTTATCATTTTTTCTATATTCAGTTTTTATAGATTCCCTCTTTGCTCTTCTGACCCTCTCCCCCTTTCATCAGCCACACCAAGGGTCACATTAGTTACTACATCACAGGCAAAGACGGTGAGGACCCTGCTGTTTTTACTGGAGATACCCTTGTAAGTGCGAAGCTGTATCTTTCTTTTTCCTTTATATCATTCATACATACACACAGTCATTCTCACACGCACATATTATTTATATATTTATTTGCAGTTACTCACTTACTTGTTACTTTCTAGTTGATCTGACTGAAGCTCATTCAAGTCCAAAACAAGCCATTCTGTTCCTTATCTGCTGGTTTAAGTTTTTAAGTTGCATAGTTCTTCAATAAATAACATTCCTCTACTAATTGCATATTCCCTTTATTATTATTCTGGAAAGTTGTTTGGGTTTTTGTTCAAGTTCTACTTGTATCAAAAGGCTTTTTGATGGTTACGAGGTGAATCTTTTATCGTATCTCTTGTTTACTTCTGTCATTTTGATAGCTCTGGAAATAAGTTGACATTTCTCATTGTATAGTTCATTGCTGGTTGCGGGAAGTTTTTTGAAGGCACAGCCGAACAGATGTATCAATCACTCTGTGTAACATTGGGTTCACTGCCGAAGCCAACTCGTGTCTACTGTGGCCATGAGGTACAGAGATTTACCCCTTCCCATTTTTTGTCTGTCTCTGTAGCCTATGCCCGGTTGATTGAGATATTCATAATGTTGGCTTAGCTGCAATTTTCCCATTTGAAGTGCCCATGTGTAGGCCGCTTTTTTTCTGTTTGCTCAATATATATTTCAGCTTTGATTCTACAGTTGAAGTACCAAATAATCTTTTTCGTCAACTTATATAATGTGGATGTCTGGTTGTCAGAATCCAGCGTCCACAGAGGTCCAAACTAAGGAAAAGTTTCTGCTGTAATACTTGAGCATAATTTTTTTTTAAAAAAAAGGGAACTGAATTGCTCTGTTATCCCTTTCTATGATGGTTGAACAATATTTATACAAATAGATGACTTTTGTCGATTCATGAAATCTCTAATCTCCCAAAAAATTAGTAGCTAATTTATTCTATCCTAAAATACATTAGGAGTAAATTATTCAACCTGGTATATAGCAGAAATCATGGGATATACATAGAATTTATAACTGCATAGAAAATATATTCTAGATTTTCAAGACTCCCCCTCAAGATGGTGAATAGATATTTCCCATTTCCATCTTGCATTTAATGTCTTCAAAGTTGGAAGTAGACATCTGACAATTGATTATTTGATGCTATATGGATGGCAAATCATGCCACTGTCCAGCTTTTCTTTAATAAAGTGTCTATCTACTTTTATGTGTTTGTGTGATCATATTGCACTGGATTGTGTGCAATGTTGATGGCAGACTTGTCGCTATAGAATTTCATTGGTCTTTCCCACTTGATTTTATTCTCAAGTATTATTTTGAGCCATAGCAATTCACAACTCCTTGAGCCATAGCTCTAAACTCGGCTTTAGTACTTGGTTTTGCAACAACCGACTGCATCGTACTCCATGCCACTAGGTTCCCACCAAGAAATGTACAATATCCTGAAGTTGATCTATGAACCTGCATAATCAGCAATGGTATATGCCTCTATGAGCAATCCTTCTTTTCCCTAGAACAAAGTTCCTCTACTCTATGTCCCTTTAAGATAGGACAAATTATGTTGACAGCTTGCAAGTGTTTCTCTCTTAGATTATGCATAGATTGACTTACTACACTTATGGAAATGCTATGTTCGGCCTTATATCGGGACAAGTGTATCAGTTTCCCAACCAGCTGTTGTTATCTTCCATTATTTACTGTACTATCATCCTTTTTCACTCAATCTCAAGTAGGGATGGGCATGGGTCGGTTGGGTCCGATTTTCGGTCAACCTGACCCGACTCGAAAATTATACATCCTTCACCCGAACCCGACCCGAAATAATATATTTATTAAAAAATATTATTTTTATTCAATAAAAATATAGATTTAATTGGGAAAAAAATATATAGAGGGGCATTTATTGAAATTATCCCTAAATATAAAGGTAAAATTATATAATTTTACTGGGTCAGGTATTTTCACCCTAAACCCGACCCGAACCTGAATTTTTTATAAAAAATCCATCCCGATCAGGTTGGATCGGTTCGGAAACCATCGGATCCGGGTCCCATGCCCATCCCTAATCTAAAGTTAGGCTCAATAGGTGCCTGCTACCTTGCATCCGAGATTGTCTATTTCTTTAAGGAAGTCTAAGACATACTTTTCTTGGGAAATAAATATGCCTTTACTTGAGTATGCCACCTCAATTCCTGAAAACTAATTAACGTCTCTAGCATTTAAAAAACTTCGCTAAACATTTTTAAAGTGTGTCTTTCAATTTGATCATTCCTGGTGATGATGATGTCATGTACATATACTAGTAGAGCTGTTGCTCTTCCTTTTGAATGTTCTATGAATAAAGTATGATCTCCTTGACTTGGTTTGTATTGCTTTGCTAGCATAAGTTTTGTAAATCTTTTAAACCAAGCCCTTGGCAATTATTTTAATCCATTAGCGCTTTCTTAACCTGCACACTTTCTTTTCAAAAACATTCCATTTAAATCTGGTGGAGGTGCCATGTGGACATCTACTAAGTTCCAATGTAATAACACATTCTTTACATCAATTGTTGCAAACACCAACCAAAGTTAGCAGCTAAAGACAAAAGAACGTGCACAAAATCATTTTTTTCTATGGGTGCAAAGGTTTCTTGGTAATCTACCTCATATGTGTATGTATATCCTTTTGATACCAACCGAGATTTCAAAGTAAAACCCAATTACACCCCACTGTTTTTTCCTTTGGAAGTTTATAATTTACCAGGTCTTATTTCTTCTCTATGGCTTTCATCTCCTTTTTCATAGCTTGTAACCGGTTCTTATTTCTAAGTCTCTCTTGTAATGTTTGTGGGATTGAAATGGAGTTGATGGTAGTAAGAAAGGTTTTATGCTTGTGAAGAGTCTATGGAAAGATGCAAAATTTGAAGATTGGATGCTTAGTGCATTCTCTTGTTCTTTTTTGAACAACAATTGGCAAGTCTAATTCATTAAATTCAACAAGGAGAAGAACAAGTTTGAACACAAAAATGAGCTGAATTTCCAGTACCTAGTTGAGTTTCATATTCTGGACTTGCACAGGTTCAGAAATATGAACTTTCTTCCTTGAGTAGACCTTGAGTGATGTATAGGATTTAGACCAGTTTTTCTCTCAACTCCCAGATCAGTTTTATATTTACTAGCATGTTCACCTTAAAATTCAAATTCAGGTTTGAAATACTTTAAGTTTGGTATACGACTTCGAAAATCAAGGAGAAATTCCTTATCTACCCAAGAACTCTCCCCCCCTGGAAATGAGGATTGTGACCTTGAGTAAGGCTAAAAAATGTGACATCCATGGAAGTAATTTATTGAAGGTGGATGATAACTTGCATCATTTCTTTTGTATGATAAAACACTTCTGGTGACAATTTGCAAGAGACATTAAAATCAAGGTAAAAACATAAATTACAGCAATAGGACACAGTGAAGAATGTTTAGACCTATGTTTCTCTGGTACACGTGAAGAACCCTTGGTTGCAATTAATTTTGCTTTTGCTGCATGTCTACTCATTTCCGAAGATTGATAAAATTTTGGACCTTTGTTTTTCTAGTACACAGTGAAGAACCTGCAATTTGCATCTACGGTCGAGCCAAAAAATGCAAGGATACAGCAGAAGTTAACATGGGCTAATGGTCAGCGACAAGCAGGTTTACCTACCATCCCTTCAACCATTAAGGAAGAAATGGAGACGAATCCATTTATGCGAGTTGACCTACCCGAACTTCAGGTTACTCCTTACCATACATTCACCTTTAGAACTATTGAGATTAGGGCTCAGCTTTGAACTAGTCTCAAGATGTTATGCTTACTCTTCTTTATTTGTTGTTTTTGGACCGTTTTGCACTGGTCTGTCATCTGTCTTTTCACATTATACAAGACATCTAATGTGGAAATTAATCTGATTTGCAGGGGAGCATAGGTTGCCAGTCTCCTGTTGAAGCACTCCGGGAGATAAGGCGGATGAAGGACAATTGGAAAGGCTGATTATGGGGTTGCCTCAACACTACCAACTACAAAGGAGAAATGGTAGGACTCATCATTTTCCTCTTCTTTTGTTTGTTAAGAATAAGAAAAGATGTTGGTGTGCTGCTGAAAGGGGCTTGTTAGTTCTCGTCTGTTTTATTGGAATGGAAAATTGGAGGATGAGTTTGGAACCAACTTGGTTGTTTTGTTTTGTGGACTTGGTAATTGGCTAATTGCTTCTGTTTCTCGTGGACGAATGCTGCATGGTAGAGTTAAATGTCGTTAGTGCGATGTGGTTAGTATGATGTGGTATGTTAGTAAAAGAGTTAAATTTTAATTTTACACATTACTTTTATATAAAATATTAATTTGACTTTTATATTTTAAATAAAATGTCAATTTAATCCATGAATCCTATCAAAGTCCTCCGTTGTTGCTAACCACCGTCTCTAGTCATAATTGGCTGTCATGATCATTGGACCATTAAATTTTTGACTCACTATTTTTTAGCACTATGAATGTAAATTGAATATCCATTTTATGAGAAAATACTTTATAAATTTATAAGTTAAGCAAAGGAACGTCGGTTCCCTTCAAAATTTATTGAATTAATTGCATCATATGTCCTTAAAGTATGATTTTCATTTTAAAATGGTCCTTAGTATTTTAAATATTTCAATTTTATCCCTAAACTAATTCTAAATTAATACTTAAACTTTTGAACATTTTAATTTCGTTTCTAAATTATGACCTTCATTCTAAATTAGTCTCCAAACTTTTTGAACATTCCAATTTCCTCCCAAACTACATGTATATACTAATTACATCCCTTGTTAATAAAATCGTTAGGTCAAGTTATATTATTATATGTTTGAAAAAGAAATAAAAATTTAGGTTAAACTATGGTTGAAATTAATTATATATTTGGATGAAATTGAAAGATTCAAAAGTTTAGGGACTAATTTAGAAAGAGGGTCATAGCTTAGGGATGAAATTAAAATGTTTAAAGGTTTAAAACTAATTTAGAATGCGAGTTATTGTTTAGGAATTTAATTAAAATATTCAAAAATTTAAGGATCAATTTAAAATGAAGATTATAAGTTATGGATATATGATGCAATTAATTATAAACTTTTTTTTCTCAACCAAGTGTTGTGTTTGGTTTTGATGTGCAACAAGCTTTGTTTCACAGATTGCATGGTTCGGACAGGGATATAGTCTCATAAAGACACAAGTAGTAATGGAAAAATAGTAAATGGGTTCTGTAGCTTTTATTATAATGGCGATAACAATTATCATAATTAATTGAAGTGTGACATATTTGGTCCACATATATATATTACTCTGCTGGTGGAGACACCATAGGAAAAGAGGCCGAAAGGGAGATTACAAAAGAAAAATAAATAAAAATATCTTGTGCCGCAGCATAAAGCCATAAAGTGGAAGCAACGTTAGAGTTTGTTTAATTTACTGAACGCAAAATTCTCTTTTTGAAATAAAAATATTGGAATGTAATATTACTTGATATATTATTATAAATATTATATTACATTATTTAGTAAAAATATAAGATATGAAGAATATATATTATATTAAATTGTCTTTAAGATATATTTTCCTTTTAACAACTTATATTTTTAATATTAAAGTAAAATACATAAAAGTTTATTGAATATATATTTTTTATAAAAATTTTACACATAATATATATATATATATATATTATCTTTTCAAAAAAACATAAACATACGTACAATGATATAAATACGTGTTTATTTTTAGGTATCAAGAAATTGAGAGATGTACATATCTACATTGGTATAAGTATGCGCTTATTTCTTCATTTTTTCTTAGTTTTTTCATGCTATATATGAATTGTACAATATATTTTTAATATTAAAGTAAAATACATAAAAGTTTATTGAATATATTTTTTTATAAAATTTTTACACATAATATATATATATATATATATTATCTTTTCAAAAAAACATAAACATACGTACAATGATATAAATATGTGTTTATTTCTAGGTATCAGGATATTGAGAGATATTCATATCTACATTGGTACAAGTATGCGCTTATTTCTTCATTTTTTTTCCTAGTTTTTTCATGCTATATATGAATTGTACAATAAAATATCATAAAATTAATTAAAAATATAAAAAATATATAATATAAAAATCTTTTTTATGGAAATAATCTTAAAAAATAAATATAATAAAACACATCAAAAATAAAAATTAAATTGGACGCATACATAAAAATACTCAAAATAAAATAAAAATTCGATGGATTTTTTTACTTTCAATTTTATATGCATTATATTATCTTATAATAAATATTAAAAAAAATAAAGCCACATTAAAAAATAAATTTATATTAGTTGATTATGCACTAAAGAAATATTGAAATAGATCTATTATTTTAGGAGAATTCTTGTTCCAAAAGAGGGAATTGTTTTGATTAGGATAATTCTTTTTATTTCATTTTCCCCACCTTACAAAGACTAAATTAACCCTCCACAACATTCAAATTCTCAATTTAAGCACATTAAGCAGATGGGGATGTGTTTTACATGATGGTGTAGGTGTACATAATACAAATTCCCAGCCAGCATCTTTTCCGTGCACTATTCTGTTCGTGATGAGTAACTTCAAAGCATCATTGTTAAGCAGACAGCTCTGCTTCAACAGGATGAGAAGCAAAGGGGGGGAAATTGCAGATTCTAACCAATGCTGCCTATGATCTATGGTGTACAGAAACCAATATCAACATTCTTACAGAAAAAAGGTACTCGTATGGTTAGCCATAAAATGTCTGCGGCTTAGCAATGTCGATTTTCTACAGCCACTTGCGAATAGGGCTGCCAAAAGGGCAGGAGGACCACTACCTGTTGTTTGAAGCATCTTCTTCACTAGGAGGTGTCTATCCAATATCATCAATTCCAGCAGCTTTCTACAACTCTGCAGAAAGTTTAGAGACGTGCGTTAGAGGGAATGCAAATAAAAATTTAAGCCGTCGTGTCAGTTACACGAGCGTATTAACGAGGCAAATATTATTGGTTGAATGTGTACGAAAAATTCACGGACCTGATACATGTTTGATAGATACAGCAAGGCAATTACATATGAATATAAAAAATCATAAGTACCTCCAATATCAGTGGATTTTGCATCACTGTACTAAGAACACGAGAGACCGACTTGTTGATGGTCCCATCTGCATAGAAAGTCCAGTACCTCCAATATCCCAGGATTTTGCATCACTGTACTAAGTACACGAGAGACCGACTTGCTGATGGTCCCATCTGCATTAACCCAAGGCAATATAGGTACCAATCGCTGACCTGTAAAAGGCTTATAAATCATACCCCCATCATCCCCTTTTGATAAACCAACTTTATCGTACATGCAGCTTTCATTTGCTTTGCTAGTAGGAATTTCATTGGAAGGTAAGCATGCTCTTCAGGAAGATTAAGAACAGTAACTTTGTGCACATGACCAACAGTTACACTCCCCAATAACGTAGCAGAATCAAGGCTCTGCTTTTCTTGCTGAAGGACCAACCATCCTTTTCTTGGGATGTTAGCGACAAAGGTTGTTTAAGATCTTGATGGAAACAAGAAATAGTAGCTAGAGAATACTTGGAGTGGTATAAAGCATCAACAACACGAACAGAGTCATAAGCATTGACCTGTGCGAAATTTATCACAACATCAATACACAAGAATTTGGTATGAAAAGTTAAGAAACCATCTAGTGCTTTGAAGAGAGTATAAACTACCAAGCAGTGCTCTTGTCTCCCTCATTCCTAAAACATACCAAAATACAACAAAAACAAACAAAAATTGATTGGTCGTAGGTTCAGATTCTACTTCAGGAGATCTGGTTCATTCCAAATTAAAAAAATTCAGAATGTCAGAATCAAAGGGTTAGCTAGGACCATTGAGATCAGATAACCCATTTCATGTCTTTGTTTCTATTGCATTCTATCCAAATTAAAGAATTCAAAATGTCAGAATGAATGGGTTTGCTAGGATCATTAAGATCGGGTAACTAATTCCCTGTGTCTTCATTTCTAGTGCATTCTATCTTATTGCATCACGTTTTCTGTGATCTTCGACAATCACCATCAATAGCTCAGTGTAGGTGGTCCAAGGGCTATTTAAAACCAGCCAATTAGCAATTCTCAAGATGTACCGATACTAGCATATGTCTTAAAGATGCAATCAACGATGCCCCATTGCCGGATTTGTTTTAACATTTTCTACTGTCAATGCTGGAACATGACCACTAATAATTAATGACACATTCCACAATAACCCCTTCCTTGCACTATTGGCAGAAAGCGACACGACGAATACATGTTTGAGAAAAATATCACATACTAATAGACAATTCATATTCCAATGGCCAATTGTAACAACCTTTATAGCTCTTCCAAATGCTTTGGAGTGTATGAATGATAATTTCAGGTGTCTTTTCTCCTGCAAGAAGAATATCTCAAAACATTCAATGAACTGGAAGTTACATGCATATATCCTTTTCCATAAATATGAAGATGAGCCACAAGTACAAATATGACACCAAAAAAATACCTGGCATTTTGAAAAGACTATAATCATCTTCTATTCTCAAACCTTAGTCACCAGCCTTCTGAATTTCAGTGCAAACAGCCTTAATGATCTCAGGATCAAAGTGACCATCTTGTCCTTCATCAGAAGGATTTGACAACAGATGCTCAGTGTAACTAGCCATAGCTTCCCAAGGGGACTCACTAGACTTCGATGCTACGGTGACATTATTACTGAACTCAAGCATGTCCCTCATACGGTCCAAATTAGTTGAACTTTCGTCATTCCAAATCTCAGAGTTTAATGTCTCTTCATCCTTGAACAATTCTAAAGCAGTGGTTGTTGGAAATTCTATGCGAGACACGGATACCAGGAAAACCCTTTTCTCGTCGTGAAATAAATTCACCTTCTGCAACGAATTTTAATTTCTTAGCCTTGTCTGCATCACATAATTCATTTTCACTCAGCTCTACGTTTTAAGATTCTCAAGTCTTCAGCTTCTCCAACACCTTCATCTGGTAAGCATGGAGAAAGAGAAAGTTCACCAGAAAAAACCAGAGAAAACAAATGGACAATATCACCGCATTACAAATCGGCAGTTAGGTCTTTTTGTCTTTAGCGAATCCAAGCAGAAAAATTAGCTGCTCTCTTGCCTGTATTGCAAGGAAATAGAG